TGTAGAGCTGCTTCTCCGTGTATCCTGACTTTGGGAATTCAACTGCTCACTGCTCCACCTGGATCTAGCTTTACCTAACCAGCATCTTGGATTCTTCGTGAGCCAAAATAGTCAAACTAATACTGGAACTTATCAATTGCTCTAGGTTTGATCCAAAACACAACTTCCCTCATAGTAAGTGGCTTGGGAGGAAACATAAAATGTAAATAGAGGACATGTTCCAGATCTACCTTTGCTCATGTAAACATGTCCCCTGCTTTTCCTTTCCCCTACCGAACTGCCTGAGTTTCTGCAGCAGAGGGAGCTCAAGCTTTTCATTTTTCCCCCCTTTTCTTTTCCTCAGGATAGCTGAGCTGGGAGCCTGCTCCTGCTCCTGGAGCCTTCCCTGGGCAGCAGAATCCATTCACCTTTCCTGGGCACCATTCTCTGGGCAACCCCATCCACCTTTCCCCGGGCATTCTTCCCTGGGGAATAGCATCCACCCTTCCCCAGGCACCTTTCCCCATGCAACAGAACCCACTCACCTTTCCCTGGGAGCAGCACCCACCCTTACCTGGGCAGCCCCATCCACCAGCAGCTGGAAGGATGTTCCTGCTGTGCCAAAGCGCAGGATATCCCCATGCCTCACTCTGACAGATGCATTTTGGATCTGGCAGCTGTTGACAAAGGTGCCATGGAGGGAGTTGAAGTCCTGAAGGATGAAGCTGTTCTCTGAGGTGGAGAACTTGAGGGCTGCATGACGACCTGCTACACCTGCAGCCTAGGAGCAGGCAATGGGAATGCTGCTAGAGGTGGCTCCAGGTTTGTTCCTGCTTTGCTTTTCCTGTTGTCAATCCCAGCATAAAATGGTACCTCCACACTTTGCATGGAGGACTCCAGCACATCCTCCTCCCACCACCTATTTTAGAATGATCAGCTGCCTCACTCCTACCTGCAGGACGATGTCAGCCCCTCTGCTGCTGCCAATGGTGGTGGTGTGAGGTTTCAGCTGGAAACATCTCTCTGAGCTCTTTAGAAAGGCTCTCATCACCCAGTCCCTTCACCTGCAAGGTTTGCACCCAAAAAAGCAACTCCTCATTCAGCAAACCCCCCACTCAACACACAACCTGAGCCACAAACAACTCAAACAACTCACACCACGCTAAAAACTGTCCAAAATGAGTCCAAAAGCAGCTCTGTCCCAGCCAGCAGTGTGGCTGCAGCCTGGCAGTAGCCTTGGAAACCCTGACAGCACTGGAGCCTGCTGCTGCCTGCCTGCCTGAGTTTTTCCTCTTTGTTTTGTTTAGGTTTTTTTTTCCCTTCTCCTTTTTCCAAGCAACTGCCCAGGCAGGACAACACAGCTCCACGTCCGTGCCAGCTGGTGACACACATGGAAATGTATATCACAAACCTCACAGGGGCTATGCCACCTGCCAGGGCTGACAAAGAACCTTTTTGTTCCTATTGTACTTGCATTTTTTATTTCATATCAGGCACACACACACAAACAGGTCCTGCAACCTCAGGCAAGGGGACAAACATTGTTGCTGGGTGATGTGGATGCTGTCACCCATTGGCACTTCTCCATCTATGTGCCTTGGTCCCAGGCTGTCATGCAACTTTTTTCCAGCAGAAAAAGGGAAAAACTACCACATCTGCCACCAAAACCCTCAGTTTGGCCTTACCAGTCCTGCCAAATTTCATCATGCTTCGTTCTGAGGCAGAAGCAGCAGATTTTGCAATGAAGAGCTTCTCTGCAAACCTCTGCCAATTTAAAGTCACTCCCCCTTGTCCTGTCACTCTGTGCCCTTGACCAAAGTCCCTCTCCAGCTCTCTTGGAGCCCCACTAGACACTGGAAGGGGTTCTAAGGTCTCCCTGGAGCCCTTTCTTCTCCAGGCTGAACTCAGGAGTTAGGACAATGTGAGTTATCTTCTGGAGATGCTGAGACACATCTGCAACCTTAAACACATCCTGAATTCTCACCTACCAGTGAGTCTCACCAGGGACAGGCAGCCTGAGGATGGGTGAGATGAATCTGCTGTCAGATGTGTGTGGAAGAGACAGCTATGCTCTCTTCACTTTCTTCTCCATCACCCTCACCTTCAGCAATAACAATCTCCTTACAATATATTACAGTGCCGTGGGGAGAAGCCAACATAGGATAATGATGGGGTCATGGCTTTGGGAGCACCAGCACTTCTCAGCATCCCATTTTCTGCTTCCCAAATACCAAAAAGGAAAAGTATGCAAGAAGTCAGAGATGCTCATTAGCCACTTGGACATTTTGGACATAACTACTGCATTAGTCACAGCCTGTGTCACTGTGGTCACTGCTCTTCACTGCAGTGTTTCTGTTCGTGTCCTACGTGACATTGCCAGAGATGCTGTTTTTGCCAATCTGTTTCTTCAAACAGGACTATCTAGCAAAGAAGATTGGTAAAACTTCAACTTCCAACTGCTCAGACAAGAAACTTTGCCTGGATTTTTCCAAGACACAACTGTTATGGTTGCATTTCTTCACCAAGGAGAAAGGACTTCATGCCCAGTGAGCTCCTAGGGGCACACAAACCTGGGAGAAAACCTCCAAGGAGCTGTACCACCTTTCCAGCCCCTCAACAAGACCCACACAGGATCCCCCCACCCCAAATCCCTCAGTCCAGGGCATATTCCTCTGCTCAGTATTTCCTTCTCTTCAGTAAGGGAGTCCCTTAGTTGATTAGGTTATTTTGTCCATCTGTGATCACGCCCTGGGGCACAGCCAAGTGAAACTGCTGTGACACAACAACAGAAATTAAGAGATGCCATAGGAATAATAATTAACAAGAGAAAGTGTTGGATGGATTTGGGTCAGCATCTTTGTTTTGGTCACTAGGACTCCTCTCATATCAACCACAGCACCAAGCCAATGGACATGGTTTAGTGGTGGGCTTGGAAGTGGTTGGATTTGATAATGCTGGAGATCTTTCCCAACCTAAATGATTCTATAATTACATCAATATCAGCATCACATCAACCAAGCCACCCCCACAGCAGCAGCCCTCAACCCACACCATCCCACCCGAGACCATCCAAGGGAGTTTGTGGCTGGATGGGCTGATGACTTTGTGGCCAATGGCTTTGTTGGAAGTATGGAAAGTGGTGTGGGGCTGGAATGCCCATGGAGCAGCATCCACCCTACAACAGCCAATGGATGACAGACTGCTCTGGCTTACAAACCTTGGGAAGGGCAAACCATGCAGAAGGGCACACATACACATGTAAACACAACGTACAAAACATTTATTCACACCAGGTCTGCTCGCACAGGATGCTCAGGATGTTTCACCCTGCACCCCTGGCAGTGGTGCACACAGTTCCCAACCCCTGGAGTTACCCACTTGTCTTGAACAGAGCACAAAACACAACAGGAAAGCAACTGAGGCAACAAACTCATCCTCTCCCTGAGGAGCAGGTAGGCCCCTTTCAGCTGCTTCCCACCAGCCAGCAGAGACCTTGGCAGGAGTTGGGGCTGGCCCTGAGCCATCAGCCCAGCCCAGTTGAGAGTGGGGGAAAGCTGCAGCACTGCTCTGGCAATGTGCTTTCCCTTGCTCAGAAAGAAAAGACACCCAAAAAAAAAAAAGAAAAAAGGAATGTTTCCCTTTTCCACTGAAAAAAATCCTTCTTCACTATCAGTTTGTTGGCTTGGAAAAGTCTTGCTGGAGGCACAAGGGAAAGGAGGTGAGAGGATGTGTTGGGTGGTCCTTATGTCAAACACTTAAGTGACACTTTTGGTACATCCAGCCCTTCACTTACTTCAGAGCAGCAGAACTTGTGGCCTTCAGGTTTCATACCCGCCAGTCTTTTGTAAAATCCAATCCCAGGGAAAACATGTCTCATCCTTGTGCTGCAGCACTGCACACCCATCCTGTCCTCCACGTGGCAGCTTCCAGGGAGCCCTGGCTGCTTCTGCACCCACAGACTGAGCCTCTCTGAGTGTGGTGGGCTTAGAGAACCCAACCCAGCAGCATCACAGATTCCTCTTCATTTTGTTAAGGCATTTGCTGGCTCACTGGAGGTTTCTCCTGGATATCCTCATATTTGGGTGGAGGGGTCAGCGGCTCTATCGTGATAGGGACAGTGCAGTTCCCCTGCTCCAGGTTTAGCCTGATGTCCTTCAGGTGAAGCTTCTCTGACTTGATCCTCCGGACCTTCAGAGGCTTGAGGCGCTTGCCGTGCCGGCTGGGCTGCCGCTCCGTGCCAGGCTCCGTGCCAGCAGCTCCTGGTGCCTGGCTGCTCTCATCCAGCCCCGTCAGCGACTCGTAGGAGGGCAGGGACACACTCAGCCTGTTGCTCCTGTCTGAGTCTCTAGGCTCAGAGTAGCCTGTGTTCATCACCTCCTCGTAGCTGGGGACGTAGTACTGGGAAGACACATCTTCCTCCTCTTCTTGGCTAGGGGGGAAAGAGGTAATGGTGTGAGCGGCACATCATG